ATCTCCTCACTCCCTGACAAAATTATATATTCGGATGTAATTCCAATCGGAATTAGCGATCACAACTTAATATTTGTTGTTCGCAAAATTAATGTGCAAAAAAGGGTTAGAGCCCATCAGACTGTTGAAATTAGAAATTTTAAACATTTCAATCCCAGCAGATTTCAAGAAGATCTTTTATCTCAGCCATGGGATCTTTTAGACAGTGAGGATCACGTACGTAGACTCTAAATGGTGTTTGTGGAAAACTTTGTTTCTGGCAGTTCTTGATGTGCATGGCCCTCTTAGGATGAAAAGAGTAAGAACCCGAAGTAATATCCCTTGGTTGAATAAAAATTCTAAAAAATTAATGTTTGAAAGGGATAAACTTAAATTGAAGGCAATAAAATCCAATTCCACTTTAGATTGGAATGCATACAAGACGGCCAGAAACGTTGTTTCATGCACTTTACAAAAGGATAAGCAATTATATTATAGTAATTTGCTTTATAAATACAAACACAATCCGAAAGAAAGTTGGCAAACTATAAATCGAATCCTTGGGCGAGGCCATAATAAATCCTCTATATCTAGCATTACACAAAATGATAATATTATTTCTGGTTGTAATGAAATAGCTGAGACTTTCAATGAATATTTTTCTACTATCGGAGACAAAATTGCAAATTCCGTTGAATCTGGAAATACTCACTTTAGTTCATACATAAGTAAATCATCCACGACTTTTGAGTTTGATACTGTATCTGTTGATAAAGTTTTACATTCATTTCATGCTTTATCCTCCTCTAAGGAAATCGGAGTTGATAATATTCCAATAAAAGTATCGAAACTTTCTATAGCCATTATAGCGCCATCTATGACTAAATTATTTAATTATGTAATTCAGAATGGGGTCTTTCCTCGCGATTGGAAGGTAGCCAAGGTTATACCTCTTCATATTAAAGGTCCCAAAAATTTGTTGGATAATTATTGCCCAATCTCTATCCTTCCAGCTATCAGCAAGGCCTTTGAAAGTATACTTTATGAGCAACTACATGGCTATTTATCCAATGCTAGCATACTTTCGAAATGTCAATTCGGTTTCAGACGATATCACTCTACAACTACGGCTCTTCTTGATAGTACTAATCAATGGTATTCAAATATGGATAAAGGTTTGCTTAATATTGTTGCTTTTTTAGATCTTAAAAAAGCTTTTGATACCATTGATCTGCATGAAATCTTGATTGAAAAGCTAAATATGTATGGGGTAAAACGGCATTCATTGGGGTTACTTGAATCATACATAACAAATCGGTCACAAAAATGCTTTATAAATAGTACATTATCTCATTCTAAATCGATTAAGTGTGGAATTCCTCAGGGATCGATTTTGGGGCCACTATTCTTTTTAGTGTATATTAACGATCTGCCTAATTGTTTAAATACTGTACACCGAGGATGTTTGCAGATGATACAACGCTCACTGTGCGTGGCAAATCCACACATGAAATTTCGTCTGCTTTGAATCATGATTTAAATAATGTTAACGATTGGCTAATGGCTAATAAGCTTTGTTTGAACCTTAGCAAAACGGAATATATGCTAATAGGATCCAGGCACAGCATCAATAATCTTGTTGATAATCCTTGTATTTCTGTTGATGGTAAACTTTTGAACCGACTGATAGTGACTGAGTCTCTAGGAATTCATATTGACCAATTTCTCTCTTGGGATTTTTATATTGAGAAATTGACAAAGAAAATTTCTAGTGGCATTGGAGCTATTTCTAGGTTAAAACCGTTTGTTTGCAGAAATACTATTATTTCTGTCTACAACGCTTTAGTTCAAACATATTTTGATTATTGTTGTGAGGTGTGGGATCCGATTGGCAGTGTTTTATCTGATAAATTGCAAACTCTTCAAAATCGGGCAGCAAGAATAATTATGGGTTACCCAAATGAGCACGGATGCCCAGAAGCTGCTTTGACTGCGTTCGGGTGGAAAACACTTAAGGAACGTCGATTTGAATCTAAAGCCAGACTCATGTATAAGATTATTCATGGTTTTGCACCTACTCCGCTTACTGAAATATTTTCTAGTGCTTCAGTTGTCAGATCTCATGACTACAATTTACGTAATTCTGACATGAAGCTCAATCTTCCTTTTCCTAAAACGGATTATTTAAAAAAGAGTATAAGTTTCAATGGTGTTAAATTGTGGAACGATTTACCTATTGAAGTTAGAAACGCGGAAAGCCTACGAATTTTTAACTCGCTTTTATGTGCAACTAGCCTGTCACGATCTACTAGTTTGTAAATATTTAACTTTGTATATACGTGTCTTGTTGTTTATTATGTGTTTTAAATTTTTTCACCACGCCCCCTTTGAAAATGAAGGGGTTAGCGTGTTTAAATAAAGTTTTACCTACCTTTACCTACCATGCCGTACTTCTGATTGATGCCTCAAACGCATTCAACGCACTCAATCGAGCGGCTGCACTCCACAACATAACAGTTCTGTGTCCATCTATGTCAACCTACGCAATTAACACCTATCGCGAACCAGCTAGACTATTTATATCTGGTGGAGGAGAGCTCAAGTCCACCGAGGGTACCACACAATGGGATCCCCTGGCCATGGGGATGTATGCCATCAGTCTTTAACCCCTGATCACCGGATTGAATGTGTCAAGCAATGTTAAGCAATGTTGGTTTGCTGACGACGCGAGTGGCGCGAGATTTCTGGAAGATATCAAGCGATGGTGGGAACACCTGAATGAAGCTGGCCCTAATTTGGGACACTTTCCAAATGCTAAGAAATGCTGGCTGATCATAAAGCCTGGAAAAGAAGAAAGTGCTCATGCTAATTTTGATGGGAAAGCGATCAATATCTCTGCGCAGGGGCAAAAGCATTTTGGCGCAGCCTTGGGTTCTATGGCTTTCCTGGAAGAATACGTCAACGGCAAGGTGGCTAGAGAACTGGGTTAGCCAAATCGTCAAGCTAGCTGATTTCGGAGCGTCACACCCTCAAGCCTACTATGCCGCCTTCACCTTTGGCCTCCGCCATTGATGGACGTATTTTCTTAGAACACTTCCAGATATAGAAGATTTACTGGAGCCCTTGGAGCGTGCTATTGCTGATGTCCTGATACCATCAATTACGGATCATCACTGTACAAAGAGTGAAAGGGACTCCTGGCACTCCCAGTACGAATGGGCGGTCTCGGCCTTATAAATCCTGGACAGGATGCAGCACTGCAGTACGAAACGTCGATAAAGACCACAGCGCCCCTGGTAGAGAAAATTATTTCACAAGCCTACGAAATTCCAGATGACTCTGTTATTCACACACTGCAGCAGAATGCGCGAAATGAAAAGAACGAAGTACTTCAGGCTAAACGGGATGGTATTAAGAACTTTCTACCCCCGAAAACACAGCGTGCTATGAAACTAGCAAATGAAAAAGGTGCATCCAACTGGCTAACAGTTATCCCCATTAAGGAAATGGACAACAATCTGAACAAGGGTGAGTTTCGAGACGCAGTAAATCTGAGATATGAGTGGAAAATTGCTGATAAGCCATCAGTATGCGTGTATGGCGATACTTTCAATATTGATCACGCAATGATCTGCAAGCGAGGTGGGATCATCATACAGCGCCACAACGAGCTGCGGGATCTCGAGGCTGATATGCTTAACATCGTCTGTAATGATGTCGAGGTTGAACCCGTTCTTCAAGAGTTAACTGGCGAGCTTTTACCAAGAGGAGCAAATACAGCATCCAACGCTCGCCTAGATATCCACGCTCGAGGGTTTTGGGAGAAACAAAGGTCCGCGTTCTTTGACGTTAGGGTTTGTCACCCCAACGCGGAATCCTACAAAGACCTGAGCCCACAACAGATATACAGGCAACATGATAACGAGAAGAAGAGGATGTATGCCCAAAGAGTAATGGAGATAGAACACGGAACTTTTACACCATTAGTATTTACAACGACCGGAGGCATGAGTGAAGAGTGCAAGAGGTATCATAGCAGATTGGCCGAGCTTATAGCAGCGAAGAAAGGCGAAGACTACTCTACGACCATGTCCTGGATACGAGCCAAGGTCTCCTTTGCCACCTTGCGGTCAGCTCTACTTTGTCTCAGAGGGACTAGAGCACCCAGGAGGATAACAACGAACGTTCAAGAAACGGACTTCGAAGTAGACAATTCTCGTGCCGAAATTTAGGCTTAGACTTTTACCATAATTAACTGCTTACTATAACATATACTATAACATTTACTATAACATACTACAACAATTTAGATTTTATAAATTATTGTTATTATTATTATTATTATTATTATTATTATTATTATTATTTTTATCTTAGTTTTATACCCGTAATATAGTTTTATCAATAATTAATAGTTCAAGTAATCAATTATTATTATTATTATTAAAAAATGAAGAAAGAAAAAAATTATTATTATTAATATTCTTATTATTATTATTATTATCATTATTATTATTTCCTAACTTCAGGCATTGTATAAACTCCGTATAACCCTAGCTCTTCCTCAGTCGGATCTTCATCATTCGAATCATCCTGATCGATATACTTCGTTTTTAAACACCTTACTATTGAAATGTTTTGACACATGTCCTTTCTTCGAGCAATTATAACATTTTTCCTCTTTGAATTTGCATAAATTTGGTGCATGATTTCCCGCACATCGAAAACACTTTAAACCTTTACTTTCAGTCCCAGTTTGATACCCTTGAAATTTAGTTCGATCGGTAAATAGACCTCTCCCTTTTCTCGTCGTTTCTCGCGCGCGAGACATTTTTAACTTCCGAGCCGCTAAACGGTTTAAATTCTTGCTTGTTTTTGTCGGCAACTTCCATGGCCAAAGCTAATTCGCTAGTTCGCTTAAATGTTAAATCAACAACAGACAAACGTTTTTCCTGAATTGCCCCGTCCCTTAATCCACACACGAACCGATCTCTCAATGATTCGCTTAGGAAAGAACCAAAGTCACACGTAGATGCCAGAGGAGGAATGAAGGTCTTCCCACAATGCATTGCGTCTCATTATTATTCACAACTACGATTTTCAACGAACGTTTGGCGAAAAGTTGTTCAAATACATTGCGAATTTGGCTTCGTATATCTCGTTTTTTCGAAGGTATGTTTTTATATTTGTATTATTTCAGAACCTAATTAAACTATTTTTGACTTTTTTGGTACAGGAATAGCTTTTTAGTTATGCTAATTACGTATTGTAATTATGCTTGATTTGGGCCAGTGGTACTTTTGCTATATTCTAACGCCGATGGCGGGAATAGATCGCGTGATAATCATCATGGCGCGAAGGAAACTATTGTACAAATCACTATTTTCCTAGCTATTTTCCATGATAATTTTGAAACATACTCATATTAATAATTATGTTCCTACATATTTTAAGTTTAATGTAACTTTTAATGTTAGATATGATTATGCTGAACTGACAGTATTTTTTTCATTTTATTATAGAATTCGGCTTTATTGGAGTAAAACTGGAATGAAACTGCTATAAAACGGCTATATACTTCTAAGGGTGATACCCCAGGGAAACCTAATAATAAGAGACACAGAATTTCACGTTTGAAGAATTCAACATCAAATAAAAGCTTTGTTTTAGAATCCTGGAACATCACCCAAGGTATAAAAGTACAAACGTTTTTACAAACATAAAATACATTACCACTGTACAAAGACATTGTATTTTAAACCCTTTAAGTGGCAATGCTCCCTGATGCACAATACTTTAGTATTTTACTCTGTTTAACGAGACAATGAGATGTTAATTGGGGGGGGGGGGGG